CTGATTCTACAAAATGTGCCCTAACTGATGGGGTAATCTTAAAAATATGCTAGCCACTGTGTAGTATGACATAGAAATATGAGTAATAATGCTTGTATTCAAACTTCTTACAACTGCCTTAAAATGTTTTTGAAACACCTGTTACACAGAAGCCACACATATGGTGCCTAGACAGCATATACTTCACTAGCACCAGACTGGAAGGGGAATGTTTTTCCACACAGTGATTACAAAATATTAATTGAATCAAAGAGCCTTCAGTGATGCCAATCGTATTTCAAGTAGTATCTCAGATGCAGGATATGCAAAGAGTAAGGAAACATGGTCCTTGCTCTCAAGGATATCATGGTCTAACTGAGAAGGCAGACATCAAAAAAGCACAACAAAAGGCTGAATTAAGAGTCTGTTCACATACAATAGTACAACAACCAGGGCAAGAGCAGTCAGTGGAATAGACGGGGAAGGAGTGTTCCAAGATGTAGGAGGAAAACCAGGTGACTGTTTGCTTGGGAACATGGAAGCTCTCACCTATAATTGACAATTCCATTGATCACTGGGTTCACATCAATGATTCTGTCAAAACAATCCTGAACAACATCTTTGCTGTTCATCTGGAAAGACAAACCAACATATAATTAGCAGGATTATACTAATTTATCAATACCTCCAATTAACAAATTTACTGAGGGTTTATTATGTGCATCAATCACTTTGCATTTTGAAAGCCTTCACAGAAGTTTCTAATGCGGATGCAGTGTGTGTCTAGATCAGCAGCTGATGGAGTAACAGGCCAATATATACTATGAAACATAAAAAGTCAGGAAAGTAGTGATACTAGAAGTTTTGCAAAAGGCGAGTGACATAAAAAAGCTTAAATTTCATGTACTCTAGGTTTATGGAAATAATTCAGGGTGGTTCCCTGTCATCAAAGAGTTTGCAGTATAGTGGCCAGATGCCCATGAGAAGCATGACATGGAAGAAAGTTTCTTAAGCAGGTGATCAGGAATGGCTCCTCATAAGATGTGTTCATGAAGTATCTATTTTTATTATCTCCAATAACAGATTTAAAAAAAAAACCTGAACATCAGATGGTTAGATAACTTGGCTGAAGTTAGAGTGAACAAGAACTAGAACCAGTCTCAATCCTAGGTCTGTCTGACCTCAAAACCCCAACGTAGTTTCTATCACATCATGCTGTCTTTGTCATAACAACGTCATCTGTTTTACTTCAGTCACCATAGTGACTTCTCTACTTCTCATATTGCTATTTGCCGATAAAAGTTTAAAATCTGCTGAATACACTATTACAGTTTATCAGGAGACAACTACCAGGAAAATATTGATGAAACTCTTTCTAGTAGTGCCTGTCAAAGCCTGAAACTTCCTCACAAGGGAAGCCTGGAGATGAAAGTTCTGCCCAGCTGTGAGGCAGGGCTGTCACGAGCCTGTTCCCCGAAAATGGCGATTTCTGAGGAACTACTCTTTCTGAAGATTGGAAATCACATACAGAGTAGCTTCCAAGTACTTAATATTGAGAAGGGCTCCATCTTCCATGGAAGGAGCCTCCAATATTGCTGACTATTTCAAGTTATCTATTCCTACCTCTAAACTGATGATAATGTTTATAATACATAAATTGTTTCTAAATATATACAAAATGGCATTCTTATAATAATCTTCTTAAATGAAATCATATAGAGCAATTAAAAACCTTTACACCAATTGTCACAAATGAATCTATGCAAAGCAATAAAGCAATTGAATTGTAACAATGTCCTTCCTTCAGTTTGCTTCTTTAAGGTGTGGTCAATGATATATATGTACGATTTCTTGAAAACATTTTGTATAATACACAGCACCAATTATTTTCCCAGGGTATCTGTACTAACTTCTTTCTAATGTGTCCTCTCTATACATTAACTGGAATAAAGCACTTGACCAGCTGAAAATGTCAGCTGTTTATAAAACCTGCAGTAAATCAGTTTCTGATTCATGTCTGTAAACCTCAATTATCGGTGGAGAGTACTCCTTTTTCTTTTTTATCAAGAAGACTGAAAAATTTGGCTGCAAATTTTTAATGCAATCCCCAAACAAATAATATGTCTTCTAACATTCTTGGACAAAATCCCAACTGTACATCAATCTTTGGAGCACTGAGGTTAGTAGAAAGTTTCGATATATTACCACTGGTGACCTGTTATTACCTGAATATCCTGACTTGGTCTTTAAGAGAAAAAAATAATCTCCTTGGAGCTTTTAATTATTCTGACTAGACTAGGTTCCAGAGAATATTTCACAAGAACTACTTAAATGAACCTGACAGTCAATCCTGACAAATAGCAATACTAATTCTAAATATTTCTGGCAATAAAAGAAAATTTAAAAAAGAATATTTACAGACTAATAATTCTTAGTGGGCTAATATGAATATTGTGCTTTTTGTGTCAAATACATAATTTAACAACCAAATAAGATGACGCATTAATACCTCTAAGAATAACAAGTACAAGTTAAGCCTCCAAGTATTTGTGACAGTGTTTCAGGTAGACGGAGTTTTATCTACAAAAATATCCATAAAATAAAAATCTAGTGTATCTACTACATTAATGTTAATGTAGAATTTAAGAATCTTCTTGAATAACTAGGTTACTGGGGAAAAATTATGGGTCTATTTGAGATTGTTTGAATAGTGAAAGTCAATTTGTTTGGAATTAAAAGTATTTGCTTCAAAAATATATTCTATATCATTTTGTTAGAGAAAAATATGCAATAACCATATTTGATACTATATAATTCAGATAATGAAATTGTCATTGGTTGTAAGAATTCACTCATTTTCTAGTTTGCTCTTTCCTTTGATAGTGTTAATGAAGAAGTGTATTTTGTTGACTGAAATTTGTATTTTGTTTAGTTGTATTTAAATGTGTAATAAAATTCATTTTCAAAATATTGGTACCAAATTTCCTTAAAAAGTGCAACAGCACCCACTTCTTAGCAGCAATACAAATAAAAATATTAACAATTTGTGGAATTACAATGCAAAGTATTTGGAGAAAACATATTTGACTATTTTGAAATGCGAAACAAATACATACACACATACAGCACACACAACAGGGCAGCACAAAAGAGTATATATTCTAAAATTTATTATACAAAGTTCAAAAACTATTCTTTGGCTTTAAAAGACAGGAGGATACTGACTGGGAGGTGGCATGCGGTGAGCTTTTGTGTTATAGGCAATGTTCAATCTTTTCATCCAGATAGAGGTTACACCTGTGTGTTCACTATGTAAAAATTCATTAAGCTGTATAATAAAGACTTGTGCATTGTTCTGTATGTAAGTTGCACATCAATGAAACAATTTTTTTAAAGATTGTAACTCCATTAAATTATTTAGCAGTAATTGTTAAAAACCAGGTTACTTTGAGGAGTAACAAAATGTTTTAAATAATCGTTATTTTCTACTTTGTAGCCATTATTTACTAATGCTTAAGTGTTATATATGGAGCCTAGTGGCACAGTGGTCAAAGTGCTCGACTGCTAACCAAAAGGTCAGTGGTTTGAACCCACCAGCAGCTCCGTGGGAGAAAGATGTGGCAGTCTGCTTCCCTAAAGATTTACAGCCTTGGGACCCCTATGGGGTCACTGAGTAGGAATCTACTAGATGGCAGTGGTTTTTTTGGTTTTGGTTAAGTGTTATATAAGGAATAATTTTTCCACCCCCAATACCCTCTTCACAAAGTAGACTTTCCCTCTACCAAATTTCTGACATGGCTTGGGGAATAGAGGGAGTTCCAGAAGAGAGACCTATGTATTTTAGATGGGATTCCTGATTTCAAACAAGTACCAAGGTAAATGTAAGAGTTCTTAATTTGAGACCCCAAAAAAGTTTGCTGTGTGAGACAAAACATTTATCCACAATCTTTAGGAGAGATTGTACAGGTGTCCTAGCAGTTTGAGTAGTCTGTAATAGCTGCTATCAAGAAAGTTACTTCACTCAACTGGGATGTAATCACCATATAAGATTCCATTCCTGTGGCTACTGGTAGTCAGGGAAGTGTAGCTGGAATCCCACTAAATTAAATTATAGGAAATAAACTCCTTTCAGAAACTCATTTTTATTGAGAGAACCATGGTTCTTTTAGGGTATTGAGAAAAGGGCAATGGTGGAGTTGGAAGCTGAGCATGCTAAATCATATTCCATGAATACAGTTTTCATGATAAGATGTATATATCAGGATGTGTTTGGCCAACTATAACTTCCTGAGAAATAGCTACTCTACAAAATAAGTTTGTTAAACTACACTTGAACAATATGGGAAATGGCCATTCCAAGTGGCAGTGAAGAAATCACCAATTGTGAAATTTTTTGAAAATCAAAAGTTGTGCATAGAAATAGCCTAAGAAATTTCTGAAAAAGGCATATTAGATCACATTTATTGTTGAGTGCAGAAAGAGCACAAACCGTAACTTTTCTTTTAGGTTTCTTTTTTTAAAAAATTATTCAAAACTGAGCTTTTAAACCAATTCCCAGCACAGAAGGGCTGGCTAACAAAGGCTAATGCTGTAAATGGGAAACCAATTTAGGAAAAAGAAAAAAAAAAAGGATAAAAGATGCCAAAACAATCAAGCTGATGGCATTTTAAAGGCCTCCACTACAAAACAAACCACACGACTGGTACCAAAAATGCACACGCACAATCACACACAAACACACACTCCCCACAAGGGAGGGGTGAGCAGTTAAGGCACCTTTAAAAAAAAAAAAACTCATGCGGTTTCAGCTTACCAAGAAGGGATTTTCAAAGCACCTGAAAAACGTACAAATTGTCTGAAAACCCTGCCTAGCAACTGAGACAGTTGGGTCAGATGTTTGCCAAGGAAACAAAAGAAGCCTCCCTCCTCCCCGTGAGACCTCACATGGCATTAGAGGTGCTCCAGGCATTATTTATTTTAAGCTAAGTGGAAAAACAGAAGTCTGTGCAGGAGCAGTACATACTAGGGATCGCTATCTGGCAGGGACCAGGCCATGGAGTTTTCATTGGTTGAGGAACCGCCCAGCTTGAGTTTTTCCAGATATTCGGCATGCACGGGCTTGTGGCACTGGAGAACCTTGATCGCATCTTCGATTTTGAACCACTCTCGCTTCCTCCCAATGCTGATCGAATCTTCCCAGTCCTCCAGGATCTCAGTGACCGTCAGTACATACACATACGTTCTGTGCTTGCGATCTTGGTTCTGTTCGAATACGCCCAAGAGCCGGCCTAACTTCCCCTTGACTCCCGCCTCTTCGTACACCTCTCGCACTGCCGCACCGCCAGGCTCCTCCTCGGGCTCCATGCCCCCGCCCGGCACGATCCAGCGGTCTGGGTACCGACTGCTACTCACTAACAGCACTTCGTCCTCCTGCTCGCTCCGGAAACACAGGCACGCCGCCCGCTTCTTGAACCCCTCCGGGTCGTAGGTCCGCGTCTGGTTCGGCTTACACTTCATGCTTGAAGCCGACTCTTCCTGCCGCTGCTGCTTGGGTCGCCGCCGCGAGGCCAAGCAGCCACCGCCGCCGCCAACCGGCCGAGGTGCTGGGAAGAGAAAGGGCCGAGGAGAGGGGCGGGGGCACAGAGGCGTCCAGCCGGCGAGCGCAGGGGAGGCGAGGGAAAGATGAGGCGGGGGTGGAGGCGGGGGTGGGAGGGAGAGAGCGAGGTAAGTCAGTCAGTCGGTCCTCTGGGCGGCCAGCCTGCGGCGCCAGCGCGGGGTAAACGCAGATCACCAGAGCCCAGACGCCTGAGTGGAGGGGCGGCGCCGGTACCCCGGCCGCCGCCGCCGCCACCCAGGAGTTCAAAACTCTCCACAGAGCCCACCCGTGTCTCCCTCGCTCCCTCCCGCCTTCCGCCGCCCCGGCTGGGGTTGAGTGAGGTGAGGCGCATTCACGCGCGCGTCCACGTTCCCATGCGTACGCGTTCGAGGGCGAGGGGCGGAGGCGGGGGGTCTCTGGGCTCCCGCAGCGCGCGACGCCTCAGGCCCACTGCGCAGGCGCTCCGTACCTCGGGGTAGGAGTCTCCGTTACACTGATTTAGATTCATGGCATCCCGTCTTTGGCCAACATTCATTCCACGTGTGCCTTTCAGCTAAACGTGGCTGTGGAGCGGCCGGACCATTCTCCTCACCCTCCCCGCCAGGTTGGACAAAACACAGGAAACATCATTTTGCACAAAATAGCGTCAAGGCCATCATCTTCACCACCCATAATGTATAACACTCATTTGTAGGAAGGCCCCGGTTTTGTCAGAATGGTCAACAGTATTTTGGGCAAAATATTACCTAATCTTTGCTGAGTCACATTATGCAGTTTTATTTCTCAGTGAGTTCTTAACCTTGCTGGACATCTTGGCAAAGCCCATAACTTAACACTTTTCTTAAATCCCCGCTTACATCTTACCTCACTTCTGTTTCTAGGTAAACTCTCCTACTTGTTTCAGCTCCTTGCACTTTGACTGATATACACCTAAACAGGGATGGATTACCCAATAAACAGAGATGTGGTGAAACCGATGTGAAATTGTGCACTACAGATTAGTCAGTACACACAATTAAGCCCGTGCTTACCTTGTTTACTGTAAACCAGCGCTTACTGTGCTTACTGGTTAATCTGTCCCTGCACCTAACAACTGGAGAACCACAGGAAGTAGTGTTTTACTAAATCCCAAGAATCTCCCCCTTCCACACACTCCTCCCTTTTCTGTCTTTCACTTTGATGAGCACTGATTGGAGTTTTGAAAAATATGCCTTTGGAGATCCTTTCGTGTTTGAGATTTGATTTTTTAAAAAATCTCGGAGCATGGGATTCTGGCAAAGGCACTTGGTGCTCTCTCCGTTTGGTCATTAAGTCCTCATGGCCAAGAAGTGGCACCCCCACGGCCAAAGATTTAACAACCTAAAGCCTTCCCTCTCTTTTTTATTCCTTCTTCTTTTTTCCCTGCGCTATGAGTAGCCTTATAGAGTACCTCTGCTGCCCCTAACTTTTGTCATGTTGCAAGTTAGGCATCTTTGTCTCTCTCTTCCTGACATACTGTTGGCATATGCCAAGCAGGATCATGGAAACCCTTTTTCAATGAAATAATGCCTTCCTCAAGGGGAAATTGAGCCTGAAATGGAAATAGAAATTAGTACTTAAACATAAATTCAATTTGAGCTGAACAATTTAGCTCAGTTTCCCAGAATCTGCTCAACTCCATTTAAACCAGAAATTACTGGTAAAAGTGATTCAATTTAAAATGGCAACAAACACCTGCAATATCTAGGCATAATATAACACAAATGTATGGGTCATATATGAAGAAAAGGATAAAATGGAGAGATAAAAAGAATGACTTCAATAAACAGAGGTAGTACTGCAACTAAATTATATGACCAAATCATAAAGATATGGATGCTCAGAAAACATTTGGAAAAAAAAAATCAACACTTGACAAAAAAACAAACAAAAAAACTTAGGCAAACAGATTTTGGCAGACTGTATTCCTCAGTGTGTATTCACAAATACACAAAATGATGTTAAACAACTAGAGAAAATACATTACAATCAGAATGAATACAAATATGTCTATCATCACTGATATTTTTAGTATTGTTTTAGAAGTCCTTTCCAGTGTAATGAGATTGTAAAGAGAAAAAAGCCTGCCATTTTGGTAAAGAAGACAAAACTGTCATTATTTGCAGATAATAAGAGTATATTCTTGGAAAACACCTAAGAAACAAGGTAAAAAATAAGTTATTTTTTTTCATGGTAGAATGAAATACTTATATTTAAAATATTAGTGCCTTTCATGCATACCAACAATTAGTCGTGTAGAAAATATAAAGGGAGGGGGAAAATGATGACATTCACATTAGCAATATCAACCATCAAAAAACAAGTAAAATATGAAGGGATCAAAAAAAAAAAAAAGATAAAACTTAGTAGGAAATGAACAAACTTTTCCTCAGAGCTTTGAAAGAAGATTTGAATAAATGAAGAGGCACTGTAGCAAAGCTAGGAGATTGGGCTGGTGTCTGGGGTGGGGAGAAAGCCATCACAATGGCCCTACCAGGCACATCATAGGTCTACTTCACAGCTATCAGGTACTATCTATCCCCTTGTTTCACCAGAGGTGCCATTTTATAGTCCATCCCATTACTTCCACATCAGATTATACCTATGCAGTGTATCTCTGCTGGGATCATGTTTATCGGACAGGAGAGGAATAGAAGCATTATAACATGGAATGAAGTACATGTTGGCATCCTACTGACGAAGTCACAGCATGTTTCGGGATAAGTAGATCCACAACTTAAGGGTTAATACAACAGCAGTTAAATTTTCAATTTTTTTTCAGAATTTCATAACATAATTTTGGGTATTTAGTGTATGCAAGGATAGATAAGACAGGGTGTCTGCCCTGGATGAGTTCACAGTCTACTGGGGCATGCACATGAACAGATAATTCCGCTAGTCTTTATTATCTGCTTTGTTTTATGCAGTTGATATTTATTTACCAGCTAACCTGAAAAGTGAGTATCCAAATCCCCCTTCAACAGATTAAGAAACAGGTTGTGATGGATTTCAGTAACTAAGCCATTAAGTGGTGGAGCTGAGATTCACACCTTAGTCTCTCTGACTCCAAAGACAATCCTCTTCCACTCACCATGACACATTTCACATAGGTTAAAAGTTAATCAGATATAGGTGTCATTCCTGTTGATAGTCTTTTTCCTCTCAAAGTCACTTCTACCTGAAAGATGCAGGCACCTCAGAGAACATAGCTTCTATGTCAAGTCCTAGAACACCTAGGATCAAAACTGAGAAGATTTGCTCTGAAACCAGCAAGTTCTGAGATACATATTTCCACATTTTCTCTGAGTTAGGAAGGAACAGGTAGATTGGAAAGTGACAGCCACAATTAGAAGCATTTATGTGGAAAATTGGGTACCTCAGTGAGAAAGGTGTGGAAACTGGAGCTACCTCTTCTGCGGCTCACTTTTTTTTATCGTACTTTAGATGAAGGTTTACGGAACAAACTAGCTTCTCATTAAACAGTAAACGTATTGTTTTATGATGTTGGTTAACAACTACATGACATGTCAACACTCTCCCTTCTTGACCTTGGGTTCCATATTACCAGCTTTCCTATCCCCTCCTACCTTCTCGTCCTTGCCCCTGGGCTGTTGTGCCCCTTTAGTCTCATTTTGTTTTATGGGCCTGTCTATGGCTGCAGGGTGAACCTCCGGAGTGACTTAAATATTGAGCTAAAAGGGTGTCTGGGGGCCATACTCTTGGGGCTTCTCCAGTCTCTGTCAGACAAGTAAGTCTGTTTTTTTTTTTTTGTGAGTTGGAATTTTGTTCTACATTTTTCTCCAGCTCTGTCTGGGACCCTCTATTGTGATCCTTGTCAGAGCAGTTGGTGGTGGAAGCCAGGCACCATCTAGTTGTACTGGACTCAGTCCGCTGAAGGCCATGGTAGTTGTGGTCCATTAGTCCTCTGGACTAATCTTTCCCTTGTATCTTTAGTTTTCTTCATTCTCCCTTGCTCCCAAAGGGGTGAGACCAGTGGAGTATATTAGATGGCTGCTCACAGGCTTTTAAGACCCCAGACACTACTCATCAAAGTAGAATGTAGAACATTTTCATTATAAACTATGTTATGCCAATTGAGATAGATGTTCCCCAAGACCATGGTCCTCACAGCCCTCAGCCCAGCAATTCGGTCCCTCAGGGAGTTTGGATGTGTCTATGGAGCTTCCATGACCTTTCCTTGTACAAGTTGTGCTGGATTCCCCAGTATTGTGTACTGTCTTACCCTTCACCAAAGTTACCACTTGTCTATTATCTATTTAGTGTTTTTCCATACCCCACATTGTAACCATCAAAGATTGTTTCTTTTTGTGTGTAAACCTTTTCAGGAGTTTTTTTGTTTTTACTGTATTTTAGATGAAGGTTTACAGAACAATTAGTTTCTCATTAAATAGTACACATATTGTTTTATGACAATGGTTAACAACCCCACAACATGTCAACACTGTCCCTTCTCAAACTTGGGTTCCCTATTACCAGCTTTCCTGTCCCCTCCTGCCATCTAGTCCTTGTCCCTGGACTGTTGCGCCCCATTAGTCTCGTTTTGTTTTATGGGGCTGAATGGTGAGCCTTGGGAGTGACTTCATTACTAAGCTAAAAGGGTGTTCGGGGCCATACTCTCAGGGTTTCTCCAGTCTCTGTCAGGCCAGTAAGTCTGGTCTTTTTTTGTGAGTTAGAGTTTTGTTCTACATTTTTCTCCAGCTCTGTCCTGGACCCTCTGTTGTGATCCTGGTCAGAGCAGTCAGTGGTGGTAGCCAGGCACCATCCAGTTGTACTGAACTCAGTCTGGTGGAGGCTGTGGTAGTTGTGGTCCATTAGTCCTTTGGACTGATCTTTTCCTTGTATCTTGTTTTCTTCATTCTCCCTTGTTGCGGAAGGGGTGAGACGATTGGAGGATCTTAGATGGCTGCTCACAGGCTTTTAAGACTGCAGATGCTGCTCACCAGGGTAGAATGTAGAACATTTTCTTTATAAACTGTGTTATGCCAGTTGAGCTAGATATTTCCCGAG